GATGATGATGATGATGATGATGATGATGATGATGATGATGATGATGATGATGATGATGATGATGATGATGATGATGATGATGATGATGATGACAGCGATGATAAAACCGAAGATGGTGATGATGAATGAAAATTACCGCCGTTATCCCTACATTATGAAAAATGTCGATGATGATAATGATGAAGATTATCGCCGTTGGCAACGCAGTACGAGTGAAGGCCGACGACAAATCCACCAGGACACTGAAACTGAAAGCTGGCCAGAATCGAAGAGAACGTCCCACCCCATGAAGCAAAGTATCCCTAGTCACACTGAGGTTTCCGACGCCTTAAGGTTCGCGCCACGAAGCAGAAGCACCAACCCCCCTTCTCTACCTGCGCCAACCTGTGACGCCAGGAGATCAGCACGAAACAGAACAGAAGACCATCGCCTCTCTCCTCTCTGTCAACTAGAGACGCCACCATCCCCCTTTGTAAAGTAGCAGCGCTCAACGTCCGTGTCTCTGTGATGTCACCTCCCTCATTTTTCGCATTGGCGCACTAGCGCTGCTCCACCCGGCAGCGCACCGGCCACTAGCAGCATTCCAATTGGCAGCGCACCGCCCCCTAGTGGCACTCCACCTCGCAGCGCACCGCCCGCTAGCAGCACTCCACCTAGCACACGCATCGGTATACTACCACGTCGCCCGCTCGCCGCGCGCGTTCCTCCATGGCTTGCTTGGCGCCGGCGCTGCTCCCCCGGTAGCGCAGCGCCGACGCCCTCGCGTGTTTCAAATCATTCCAATTTTCCCGGCGAAGCGCACCGAACGAAAAGGATTGTCGCTCATAGAGTGCGAGATCATTAGTGTGATTTGTCAAAAGCTGGGTTGCACAGCGTACACGTACACGGGGTTAGTGGATGTGCATACATGTATGCACATATGCGCATACGTACCACATACGTGTGCGCGCGTACTAAAAAATGAGGCCCGCGTACGTGGTCGTCGTGGGCCATTTTTGTCTCCGTTTTTGGCTGTGGTACCAAGTGGGGGGACTTCAGGAGATCAGGTAACGTGGGGAAGGGGTCCGGTCAGGGGGTGGACCGCCATCACCCGAGGAGGAGGAGTTGCCATCAGCCGAGGAGTTGCCATCGCCCGAGGAGGAGTTGCCATCGCATGTCGCCATCACCTGTCGCCATCACCTGTCGCCATCGCCATCGCCCATCGTCATTGCCATTTCCCGTCACCATTGCCCATCATCATCGCCCGTCGTCATCGCCCGTCGTCATCGCCCGTCGTCATCGCCCGTCGCCATCGCCCATCGCCATCGCCATCACCTGAGGAGGCCATCGCCTGTCGCCATCGCCATTGCCCGAGGAGCCCATCGCCCATTGCCATCACCCGTCGTCATTGCCCGTCGCCATTACCCGTCGCCATCGCCTGTCGCCTGTCGCCCGTTGCCATCGCCTGTCGACTGTGGGAGGAGGAGGAGGAGGAAGATCTTCCTCCTCCTCCTCCTCCTATACATTTAAACACAATACATTATATATATATTATATATGTCGTCAAATAGAACTGCCCGGTAAACCATAGGCAGAGAGGGAGAAGAGGACAACAAACGAGGGGCTGTGACAAACTGTTTCGTCGGAGTTTCACTGACTCATCAGGAGGCTGAACCCTCAACAGTCTGTAGAATCCCCTCACTGATTACACTGTAAGTGATAATCCACCTTAACCAAAATCAAAGTAGACTATCACTCACCCACACCAGATGGAAAACTCTACAGACTGTCGGTTCACACCCCATCACAAGCCAGCAAAACACCCACGAAACAAAGAAAGGTCTGTCACAGCCAAAAAATACACTCCAGACACGCCGCTGATATATATGTAATATATTATATATATATTACATATATATTATATATATATATATATTACTATACAATCTATACATATATATTTTAAAAATTAAAATAAAATAAACTACGTACACATATGCGGGTTTTCGGACATGTATGCGTACTCTTCAATCCGTCAGGAAACAGGCCCGCTGCGGATGACAGGAGAAAAAGTGGTTCCTGACACCTTTAATCTCCAGGAAGTATGAGTCCACTCTAGTGATGATAGGAGAGGTAATGTTCTAGCCTACCTGGGGAGGGACACAGACACGTACGGGGTGAAACCCAGTCTATTTGGGTGGAAGGGTTTCACCTCCACTCAACCCTACACGCCACTGTATGAGTACATATCTGAAACGGGGTTGAGATCCAACTATTGCAGACAGCAGTAAAACCCGCTACACTGGCCCTAAAGAGGGTAGAGCAACAACAATTGGAAGGAGTAATAGAGGTCAAACTCAAATCTCTATGGTCTGCCTTGAAGAAAATGCCTGAGCAGAAGCAAGTTGCAATCATCCGGCTGCAATCCCTGCTAGTTACAGCAACAGCGGTGTGGCTTTCTTCGAAAGGTATGGTTGCCTGTCAATGATGCGATTGGGCTTGGGAGGATCACTTCCATTTGTGGCTCCTCTGCCCCCTACTGGATGAACTTATGGAATGGTTCTGACGGACCCGCCGGGATGGCAGTCCGTCAGGATCAAGACGGAGGGATGAGGAAGGAGGAGATGGAGATTTTGAAGCTGCAGTAAATTGAAATAAGTCAATTTACTTCCTCGTAAAGAACTATGGCTGCATGTGGAATGGGGTAGGAGGAGGGTGCTGACAAGTATCGCAGAAAGATACCTAGGCATCCAAGTGGCCTTGGAGAGCAACTCAGAGTCACAAAGCATCATCCAGATTCATCCTTCATGAACAGGTTATGCGTAGGGCCCGGAGCCAGGGAAAGGCTAAATAATTATCCTTGATTGGTAGGATTTTGCCACTCGTGGTCTCAATCTTTTCAATTATATGGTATGTTGACAGAATGAGGAAATTGGACAAGCGGCTTCTGAAGGGGATCAAATCTGCAGCCAGAAGGTTCATCTGAAAACCAGGTTCTCCCGAACAGAAGGCTACATCTCAAAAATTCTCTTGGGAAACTTTATGCACCCCAAGGCAAGAGGGAGGACTTGCATTCAATTTGTTGGACCGAGGGTCTCAGAACCTCATGCTGCTATCCAAGTGGGTGGTGAAGGTGGTCACGATGGATCAGTAAGCGGTTTGGCAAAAGAAATCTTATGTGAACAATGAAGTTTGTCTGGGCCCTCTGAGTGGCAATGATGCTGTAAGTTTTCCTCAGCAAGCATATAAAGTCCAGTTTATGGAACGACATTCTAGCGGCCTGGCAGAACTGTAAACCGGATCAAGTGGCAGCCCCAGCGACGAAAGCGGAGGTGCTGCGTCAACACCTCTTCAAGAATCCACACATTTTAACAGTGGGTGGCACCCCCTTCCCTGCCGACACCAAGCACGGTTCGTATGAGGTGAAATGGAGTCAGAGAGGAGTGGCCAAAGTAGTCAACCTCTGGGACTCCACATTGGGTCAATGGAAATCTCCTGCCATGTTCAGAGAAACTATGGGACAACTGGAGATGCAAAAGGAATGGCCCAGAGACCTTGCAGCTGTCCTTGAAGACTGACAACTTTTGTTAGGCCTGAGTATATTCCAAGACCAGGAACAGTCATTTCGTCAAAATATATAGACACCTTTGAACTTTCTATTGTAGTCTGTTCTTGGGGGTAGGGGAATCTTGAGGCTCAACATGAGCTTAGTAGGGCTTGGGCTCACAAGTATTTCCATCTTGAGGCTCAACACGAGCTTTGTAGGGCTTGGGCTCACAAGTATTGATCAGGGTTATTTCCTCAGGATTGGAGCTCCTCCCTGCGAGGGCTACACAAGGTGGGCGGTGTTGTCCTTGAGAGGGTAGGGGCGGTATTGTGGGATTGTCCTTTTCTGTCCCGTGCTGATCTTGGGGTCCGATCAGTATGGCGGTTGGGGAGAGTGGACAAGGGGTGCTGTTTTCAGCAAGATGGGTGGTAGAGAGGGCTGTTTCACTGGGAGGGGGTGGGACAGGAGGTAAGGGGGAATTCCAGCTCTGCGGGGGCATACTCTAGGGGGAATTGTGTGCTGCTGAGGGAGCGGGGATGGCCGTTTAGGGGGCTGTTCTGAACTGGGGCCAGTGTGGTGAGGGGGCACCTTCCGGCGGAGGCAGTGTATGGACAGGGACGTTTTTGAGGGAGGAGTAATCTCCGAGATTTTTTTGTGAGTTCTTCATGATTGTTTGAGTTTCAAATAGACACCGGAACCGCTACACGATGAGGGGGTATTTTTCCCTCCTTTCCTCTCGTTTTGTGGAGGTAGAAGGGGGTTTCTTTTGCCTTTGTCCGAATTAATTTTTCTGAAGGAGGGCAGGGGGGGGGTTAGGACCGGAGGATGGATTTTAGTCAGGAGGTTCTCAATGGAGGAATGGCTGTTGGGCAAGTAGGTCAGAAGAACGAAGCTGGGACGACACAGGCCGGTGCTGGAGCTTTGGCTCTGTGACCTGGGGGGAGCTTGAGGCTTGTGGAGTTATGCTGAGGGTGGAACGCATAACCAGATCGTTCGACGAAGTGGATGCCGGGGTTTTAACCCTGTAACCTGTTCAGGGGCTTGCCGTTAAGGGTAGTGTCAAGGGAAGAAGGCACTTACTGTCCGTCAGAACTAGGTTGGTCAGAACCGGGGAAGGTTGCGGTGCCCTGTTAACCTAGCATGAAGGGGATGTGAGATCAAGTAAGTTATGGTACGAGGAATGAAAGCCTGGACAAACTTTCCGTCTGTTGAGGAGGGAATTTTGGATTGTAGGCTGTTTCAGTTTTGAACCCTCCGCTCATATAGGTTTCCATGCCTTCCCAAGATATTCAAAATACAAAAAGACTCTGTAACTGCGGCTTGAATAACCTAGCATTAGGTCCGTGGTGTGGCATACTGCGTAGCCACGCGGGCCCTGCAGGGCCCGTCCCGCACTTTCAGCCTAAAAGCCTAGAAAATAGGGCTTACAGGCCCCGGTCGTTTCAGCCTGAAACTGAAAAACGAGGGCCTGCAG